CTAAGTTTTAAATATGTTAAACTGACCTACATGAACTTAAAATAATCATGAGATGAAAAGTTTGCACAATGGCAAAAGATTCTGTCCTGTTCTCTGACATCAGTAATCTAGCGAAAACCTAATATGTTTCCGTCGCTCCTATGATCATTGTTTTCACTTCAAGTTGTGTCACGCAAGAAGCCAGGACTTTTTAACCTTCGAGGCTACCATTTTTTCGAAGTTTGTAGTGACATGTTTATCTTTTTAACAACATAGAACTTTTTACGATCCATTTTACATTTTTATCGACCATGCTTGAGGGAGAATAAGACAGGAGTAAAGAGTTAATGAGTGAGATATTTTGAAGCCGTATACGCGAAGAGCATTTCTTAAGAAAAGAATGTTCACCTTTTAATTCATGATCTCTTCCATGATAATGAAATAATGCTTGACGACATAAAAGCTAATCTGGAGCTAAGAAAATTCGAACGCACTCATTAATCTATGATTACTTCTAGTATTACAAAGATGCAAAAGGGAAAAATATCGATACTGTCTCTATGGAATGTTGTGCCGAACATCAAGAGAAAAGCTGAAATGTCTCCCATTCAACAGCACGGGTTAAAACGCTGATAACAGATACAGTTGATATATCACAACCGCAGACCATTTTTTTAAAAAGAACTAGCAAACATAAAACGGCCGGGCATAGCGGAATCCTATGTGCAACATAAAATTCAATTTTGGCACTGAACCCGAACGAACTGGCTTACGAACTTGATTTACTGGCTGCCACAGAAAAAGGCTGCAAGCCTTGTTTGAGGTGTGAGTGAACTAAAAGCAAATTAATCTTCTGGAATCATTGTGAGGTATTTGATAGTCGTAGGAAGGCAACGTTGCCATGAACACACGTAGTGATGCTGGTATGCAAAGTTAAAAACGGCATTACCCTCTCATGACGTTATAAAGCCTATTTTGAGAAGCAAAAACATTAGACGTCAGTTTTATAAAAACTGTCACTAAATGCATATTTTTGCTCGTCCCCTGTCTTTGCAAGGAATTCGCTTCATGCGTCTTTTTGTTTTACAGAACATTTTGTTGATTGAAACTGCTCACTGAATTTTCCATTGAAACTACCAAGGGAACATTTGGGCTGGAACTAAAGAGGGCTGTTGACTTCAACTGCTATAATTTGATTGGACAGAGCATACATCAGTAAACTTAAATGTGCGTCACACTACGCCATGCTTTACTAATCCTTTAAACTGTAAACCAAAATTAGTTGTTAATAAAACTGGATCCTTGGCTGTGCTCTAACATGGTATATCAGTGGGGTTTACCTGTGGGCCTCCCAAAAAAAAAATGGGTTATATTTAGATTCCTACCATGCAGTCGGTGGGTGAAAATCCCTCTTTTACGCCGGGCATTGATGAAGACAACTATTTTGTACTGAAATCATCTTTAATTTTCAAGTAGCCTATTTTTTATATGCTTCATATCTATTAACATCTATTTCCTTGATGGCAAAATATAAAGATCCCTCTATAAACTTAATCTAACTCAATCTTTGAACGTACGACAACTAAATGATTCAAGTTAACAAAATCGATGAACTGAACAGAACTTTTTAGATAGATGTCCTGATAAACGCCGTTTTATTTCTTACCCCGTTTCAATTAAGGATCTATTAAAGAAGCAAGACTGTAAAATTATTAAGAAAGTAAATTCTATAAATAATCACCCGCTTGCTCCACATATTCCTTCAAAGAAAGTCTGTTCTTATAATCTCCGTAAAAAACAATGTGTTTGTCCTAAAATTAATACTGAGCGTTTCATGGCTGCCTTTGTAAATAGATTAATATTTAAACACAGCCTTAGTACAATATGGTTAGGATTCTATGATTAGTTTATTCATTTTATTATGCTTTACAGTATTCATAAACAGTTGTAACATAGGATATGTATCTTTATCTCGTGTGAAATAAAGACCATTATTATTATCATTATTATTATTATCATCATCATTATTACTGCTATTGGTAGTAGTAGTAGTAGTAGTACCATGCAGTACTTGTTTCAACATGAGTACATGATTGCATGAGATCAATACTCTAGACATAAAATGCNATATCTATTAACATCTATTTCCTTGATGGCAAAATATAAAGATCCCTCTATAAACTTAATCTAACTCAATCTTTGAACGTACGACAACTAAATGATTCAAGTTAACAAAATCGATGAACTGAACAGAACTTTTTAGATAGATGTCCTGATAAACGCTGTTTTATTTCTTATCCCGTTTCAATTAAGGATCTATTAAAGAAGCAAGACTGTAAAATTATTAAGAAAGTAAATTCTATAAATAATCACTCGCTTGCTCCACATATTCCTTCAAAGAAAGTCTGTTCTTATAATCTCCGTAAAAAACAATGCGTTTGTCCTAAAATTAATACTGAGCGTTTCATGGCTGCCTTTGTAAATAGATTAATATTTAAACACAGCCTTAGTACAATATGGTTAGGATTCTATGATTAGTTTATTCATTTTATTATGCTTTACAGTATTCATAAACAGTTGTAACATAGGATATGTATCTTTATCTCGTGTGAAATAAAGACCATTATTATTATCATTATTATTATTATCATCATCATTATTACTGCTATTGGTAGTAGTAGTAGTAGTAGTACCATGCAGTACTTGTTTCAACATGAGTACATGATTGCATGAGATCAATACTCTAGACATAAAATGCTTTCCACTGGCATGGATGACAGCTGAAACAACTGAACCCAACTTAACGTACACTTTAGCAGCTAAATGTTCACTTTATAATTGTGTCAAAATATGAATAATAAAATCCCAAATTGATCTTTAAATTAAGTGGTAGTCGTCTTTGACTTTAATCGGTTTCGTTCGTGTTTAATTTGCGTGTAAATACAGAAGTGAATACGGTGGAATTTGAGAGAACCTGAGTTCTCTATAGTAACACGTGGTCTGACTAAGAAAAAACAGTCAAGGGACTGAAATCGAAAATGTAAACTATTCAAAAATTATTTCTGCCATAATACTTGTGGAATTGTAAGTCTTACGAAGGTATAAATCGCTCACTGAGTTTTAGGCCTACGCAGTAGTGTATTCACTGAACTGCGGGGAATGGATGCAGGTACAATCCTCCAAAAGCATTTCCATCAAAGTGATACACTACATACTGGTTGTTTCGTTGCCCGTTTTCTCCTGTGCCACCAGCAGCTGCCCAATATCTTCTAAATCTCTCCATTTCTTGTGCTCTTTGGTCTCCCACCACCAGATCGTAGATACCACTACCTATGAAGCCTCCAAGCACGCCTCCTGCTCCTATACCAGCAACTCCAGTCCAAGGACCCATCACCAAACCAAGTCCGCCACCAATAGCTCCTCCCACCCCAGCGCCTATCCGCGAACCAGGGCTATTGAGAGAGATTGACACCCACGAGTAGATGACACCAAACGCGAAAAGTATCATCTCGATGACATCTCGGAGAGCGTACAGAAGAGCATCCACCAACGGTGGTACATTGGCCGAATTCTCCAAAATAAGGAGAAGAATTCGAAAAACAGGAGGCAAGGCAAGTTGCAAGTTGTGGCCGTTAGGGTTGAGCACCGCATTGGTTATAATCAAGAAATTCCTGACGTTCAAGATGGCTTCTTCGACCATCGGGGATCTTCTCTCCAGGGCTTGGAATTTCTTTGCATCGTGATAGGCCCCCTCCAGCACACCAATCAGCGAAGTGTATCCATCAAACTGACGTGGATCGGGATTTTCTTTCGTAGTGGCGATCTGGATGTTTTTCTTGGCCAGGGTGTCAGAAATTGCGTCCTTCAACTTCTGTTGATGAAATGGACAGAGATACAAATCTCGCTTACCACTTTTCGCTGCTTCCAGGTATCTTGAGTTGCATGATGGATGGCGGCAGAAAACTTCGGTTGAAGTGAAGTTCGGGTCAAACTGAAGAAGAACGATCTCTTCGTGTGCTCCCTGGTGACCGGCGTTTCTTAAGGTCACCTTATTATCAAATTTGGTCCCAAAAAGCTTTCTTGTTTCTTCTTTAAATGTTGTTTTAATTACTTTAGGTGGCGGAGAGACGTTTTTTAGATGTTTGAAAAGGCTGCGCTGCCATGCTTGAACCGTCGGTGACAAAGATTCCCCGGCTGAATAGCTTTCTAAATCAAATTTCAAAGCATAAAATTCGTCGGTCTTCTTCCCTACTTTGGCAAGTAGGGCCCCAAATTGGCTCAGCTGATTTACTTTCCTTATTTCCACCTCAGTGGTCTTAAAATCATTTGCCATTCTGAAGAACAGTCTTTCGCTTGCACTTCACATTCGTGCAAATGCTATTTCTTTTTTGTTCGGGTTTTCTCGAAAGGGGAAAAATACCTGATTTTTTAGTACATTACTTTGGGAGAAAATAACATGCTTATTGTTGACAACGCTTTGATGAAACAACATAAACTCCTTACAAAACGATTCCCTCATGACGTTGCAAACCTTTATCATCACGTGTTGTTTTTAAACTTTATAGATCGATCATGTCTAAAAATAAACTTCCTATTAATCAAAGAATTGAACAAGTTCTTAGCGACTTAAGCAAAGGAAAACTCAATTCAAGACATAAGTTACGTTTGTATTTCCAATTTCGCTTTTCAAGGCTTGGATTTTACTGAAAAATTCAGTGTTTTTCAAGAAAAGCTTCTTTTTAATTAAACGCCTTATCAGAAAATTAACGGGATAAACCCCTTTGAATCGCGCGTAGGAGGTTAAAAGAGTTGTGTCACGAAATAAAACCAATTTTAGTCATGCGGAACTGGCCTGAAAATAACCAATCCAATTCGTCAAGCTCACTGCAATAATGTGTCTCATTTAAATAATAAAACTTATTTTATGTACCATGTAATCAGGCACAGAAACTTACAAACGTTAATCTAATCCCCAGAGCCTTATTGGAAAGAGAACTGAAGTCTGTGGGCACGAAGTTGACGTTATTCGAGTACAGTTACACGTGGAATTTCATGTCAGAAGCATAACTTCCTTTGAAAGTGAAAGTTTTCGAGAAGGGAAACAACCAACTTCCGTAAACAAATCGCAACAATAAAGTATTGCTAGTCAGAAACTGAAACTGGAATTGGATCTTTCCTAGTTAGAACTGGACTTTTCTAGTTAAAAGAGTCACGTTTACGGCAAACGACAAACGTCAGATTTAAGTTGAGAATTTCTCAGGAAAAAAATAAGCAGCAAAAAAACTGGCCATAACAATTTTTATGGATAAAACTGGCGTGAAACTACTTAATTTTTGATACCCCACTTTACACCACGTACCGACCCACCCGACCCACATACCTACCATTTTCGTCGTCCTTTCCGCTGGCCAAGAGGATCGCGACTTCTCGAAACACTTCAAGATGGCGGCGAAACAGTTGAGCGGTGCTCTACGAACATACATCGCAGCTGGAAAAGCTACTCCTTCACCACCTTTAGGACCATCACTTGGTCAGGTAGAAAACTATTTCCTTTTGTATTTATTTCATTTTATTTTATTTTATTTTTTCAAGAGTTAACACTTTCTTTTGCACTTTATTCTAGCGCGGAGTGAACATAGCTCAATTTTGCAAAGAATTCAACGATCGCACAAAACACATTGTCACTGGAGTTCCGATACCAACAATTATCCATTACAAGGTAATCATAAATGCAATAATAAATGCTAAGATGTCGAGTGAACCTGAGAACTCCAGCAACCGTAAACTGCCGCGTATGATCCTACCTCCCCGGTGGGGGGGACTCCCATATATAAAAGTGACGGGTATATTCGTCGGAAAATTAAAATGAAACCCCTAAGAGAGACCAATGTGGGTGTGGCTGAAGCTTGAACTGACCCCGAAAGGAGACTTTACTAAAACAGGCATCATGGCATTCTTTGTATAATTCCTTATGCACAGCCCTAAATGATACCTGAATGGTCAAATATAATAACTTTCCATCTTAAGGTGATTCCCTAGTTTTGCACTGCGCATCTCTTACTGCGCATAACAAGATGGCCTCCGTAAAAAAGAGCATGTGAAGTAACATTATTAAAATGAAGTTGACCGAAGAGAAACGCTATTACAATTTTTGCTTGCGGTTGTTTCTTGCCATAGTGAGACTCAATGTGGTGGTGGGAATGTGCATGACGTAAGCAGTACGCGTGTTGCTGAGTTCAACTTCCTCACGGAGAACCTCGATAGTGGATGTTTAATTTGTGCTTATTCACTTTGATTTTCATTTAAACGCTTTCTTTATCACATTGTGTCCTAAATGTGATATCTCGATGTAAATTCAGTAAAAACAGATTTTTTAAATACTTTCTTCCCCCTTTCGCATACATTCTATTTTGAAACTCGCCCCAGTCCTCTCTCAAAAATCAAGGAAAATGCATTTGGTGCGCACTTTCTGCAGCTCTACCACAAAAACGAGTACGGTAACCCCCATTTTTTATTTCATGATTTTAATAAGGACAGTGCTTCCTTTCGGTGAGAAAAAAATTGGCACAAATCAATGGTCAGTTTTTTGGCAATTTTACTAAATTGTATGGATTGAGCTATCATGTGTCGAATAGCGCGTGTCCAGTCTAATTCTACTTTGGAGCGTAAAGTAAAAACAAGGGCATTAAAAGGCATTTTTCTGGTACGTAAGTGGATAAACGTAAGTTACGAGCTCGAAGATGATTTGCGCAATGTTGCCACCTGGTGTTGCACAAATGATTTGTTAATAAATCCTGAGAAAACGAAGTTCATGTTGATCGGCACCAAGCAAATGATAAGTAAACATTCAGTTAATTTTACTGTTTCGTTTATTGGAAAGACTCTTATGGCTGTCGAATCAGCAAGAGATCTAGGAGTATACATAGATTTACACCTGACCTATGACACTCATATCTCTCACTTAGTCTCTTCTTGCTTGACTAAACTGGTTCAGATCAACCGCGTGAAATATTGTTTTGATAGGAAGACTTTGGTTTTAATTATTACATCTCTTGTCTTTAGCAAAATGCTCTACTGTTCGACCGTGTGGTCTAATACCTCATCTAAGAACATTGAAAAGCTGCAACTTATTCAGAATTTCGCCTGCAAAATTATCTGCGGCGCTCGGAAATATGACCACGTGACGCCATTACTTGATGAACTCAACTGGCTTCCAGTTAGCAAGATGCTCAAATTCAGAGACGCTGTTATGGCTTATAAGTGTGCCAGCAATTTAGCTCCTGAATACCTATGTACTAAGTTTAAAAAACGATCTTCTGTACATAATCGCACAACCCGTAATAATGAGAAGTTCGAAATCCCATTATTCAGGTCTGCCACCGGCCAACGAACCTTCACCTATAGGGCAGTATCCCTGTGGAACACGTTAGACGAAGACCTTAGAAACGCTACAACTGTAAAGGCCTTTAAGAAAGCCCTGAAACTTGTAATGAATGAATGATTGTATGACAGTTAGCATTTAACAATATTAGCTTGTTAGATATAGTTTGCATTTATATTTGTAAATAGGTACTGAAAAACCTTTTTTGGGAGTATTTATTAAAGTTTTATTATTTATTTTTATTTTATTATTATAAACAATACATTAAAGTCAAATTCTTTGCGATACCACATGGATCATTGAAAAAATCTTTCCTTTTTGTCTAGTTTTGGGCTGCGTGAGGTTTTTGTCAAAGGGTCCAAAATAGCCGTATTTGTCAGCATTGTGACGTCAAAACGAGCACAGTGACCCCACTTTTTATTACGTTTTTATCATCTTCTTGACTTGTTACATCAGTGTAACAAGTTTCATCTACAATGTATGTTAGGTTCTTTTACTAGGGAACCACCTTAAACACCCTAAGTGAGACCAAAATCTGCAATTATTATTTGCACCCCTAAGCGAGATAATGAGCAACGCGGTCACTTTTTTGTCCCCCCCATCCTGAGAGTCACAGGCCCTAAACAAGGTTTGTAAGTTTTCCCATTGTTAGAATATTAAACATTAAATCCAACAATAACTAAGACCACTAGGTCTAAAACCAAAACACAGCTAATTGCCAGAGCAAAAGCAAAATGCCAGTACCCACCCCTCCCTGCCTTTATAGAAGGAAACCGTAGTACCCTTACGTATGTCATATCACTAACCATGCCTGTTGAGCATGATTTCCAGTCATTGTTTCTCGAAGATGATGTGGACTGCAGAAATAAGAATTTTAAATGAAGATGAAATTATGATCCTTTCACAGGATAAGATGAACTCAACAAATTGGCCTGCTCCCAATGTATGGGTCTTCATATCTCAAAGGGTATAGCACTGCAGCGCTAATACAGAGGTCATGGGTTCAAATCCTGTTGAAGTCCCAAAATTTTTTTCGGATTTATTTGCAATTTCTTAAATTGCAATTACCAATGTGACAATCAGATCTTCATTTAAAAAAAGTCATTCTTTCTGTTGAAACAGTATTGTTTATCAGAGTTGTGTACTTTTTTATTGATGCACATTTAAACATTTATAACCTTAGGGTGACAGGACATTTACCTTTGAAATGAATTCACCTCCAGTCTCACATTTCCTCAAAACGGCAGCAGGGATTGAAAAAGGAGCACAAAAGCCAGGTACCTTAATATAAAACCCTCAAGTCCATTTGCTAAGAGGACATTAGTCTTGTGGTGAACAGTTATCAGTGATATAGGTTTTCAGTAAAAAAAACTGTCCTGTGTAAAAGTGTTTGAGTGGTTCTCACATACACACCATTTCACATCTTCCCCTCTGTGATACAAACATTTTAGAACATTGCACTAGCCTTTGCCCTTGTTGACTTCAGGTCTTACTGTAAGATGCTTGAAAATTTTGAAATTTTTCACCACCAGGGAGAGAAGTTGCTGGCACAGTGACTCTAAAACAGATTTATGAAATTGCAAAAATCAAGAAACAAGACTCAAACAACAGAAATGTCCCATTAAAAAGTGTGTGTAGATCAGTTATTGGATCAGCAAGAAGTATGGGGATACAGGTTATTCCAGGCAAAGATTCAGATACATAACACAGTGATGTCACACAATCAATTATGTGGAAAGTGACATTGCTTGAGTTACTGTTGTTGCAAAGCTTCATGAAGTCAAGTGCGATGCAAAATAACTGGTGAAGAGTACCATAGAGACTGGGCTGTGACTGAAGTTAATGCACTGGATGTATTTTGGAATGGATAGTTTAGTCAAAGGAGTGGAATGAGGAATTGGACGTTGAGAAATGTGCAAAGCATTTTATTGTTGGTTGGCGCATCACCTTTTTATAGTTTCCTCTATCAACGAGGCCATGTGAACAGAGTATCCTTAATGGACTCACAAACAATAATATTTTTGAATGCAGCAGAAACTGAGTTTGTAACTTACAATACAGTTTAACTGTCATAATAAATAGAGCGCGGAGCAGTCAGCTTCAGACTTTCAAGTCCTGTATGTGGATACTACATCATTAGGAATTCTTGGATCCATCAATGTTGGGTGATGTTGGGCAGTGTTGGATCCAGCGTTTAACCAACACCAATCCACTTTTCCAACCTGTAGCATGGAAATGTTACTTATTGTACACAGCCATCGTTTCCCCTAGTTTTTTTTTTTCTTTATTTCCCGCCTGTGCTGTATTTGTGTTTTTTACCCTTGTTAATTCCTTTCTTTCCTGGTCCAAGTTATGGTGGAATGAGTTGTCACCCTAACTCTTAAATCTGAGGACAAAAACCTATGAAACCTCTTCGGTAGAACATGTGCATACTAACATTTATTTCATATGATGTTACCAGAGGGTAATTGGAGTTTTTGTGAATATTTCTTCTCTGTTACTGTCATTAGTGACAGGATATTCATGATACTGTGCAAACAAATCTCTGTTGCCAGGAGAATGAATGTGAACCGGGGTAATCCAACCTTGGACTTTTAAGACACAACAAAATATGGGAAACCATCCAAATACCACTAAACAATTTTCCCCAACATCTTAATGTATTTTTTCTGCAAAACCTTTGTCCAAACTTTAGACTAAAGTATGAACTAGTCTCATCAGTCTATTTTTTAAGCGAAGAATCCTGATTTTAATTTTTCTATGACGGTAATCCTCAAATAAATTTCAGTATAAAGATCATTAGGAAATTTCAGTTGCCAAAGCATGTTTCAAGAATTTTGGAAAATTTTGTATTTCGCACCTGCTTAGACATACGTTTTAATTTCCTCAAAACTCAATTAGTCAAAGCAAATGCAGGTGCATAAACAATACCCGCCTACTTCATTACAAGTAACTCTAGACTTCGTTCACTTCTATTGTTTTTAAAAACGTACATCTTGTTTATGAATAGATTCCCTATTTTGAGGTGCTGATGTTGAATTTGTTTTACCAGACCAAGATTTTCTCAAGTACTCCCATTTTTGACACAGCAAACACTGCCAGAACCTGAGTAAAATCTTCTTAAATTCCCTTTTGAATTCCTTATGCCTCCATGCATACAAACCAGGGTTAACAACCGAGTTGCTGTACAGCAAAATCCGAATCCAAAATCGGGCGTGTTTACTTTCCTCTGTCTCAGGCGTAGCGAAATGATAAAGAATTAAAATAATTCGAGGGTACACCAAAATCACAAACGCTCCAATCACAAATGCAATTGTCTTGGCCGTTTTTCTTTCCCTTTTCTGGCTATCAGCATGTCTGTCTGCTTGTGTGGTACAGGTGCTGTCAAAGTAGCTAAAGACTCTTGAATCCAAAGCGTTTGTAATTGATAAACGCACGACTTTAGTGGCAAACTTACTCGTCTTCGGCCTTCTTATCGATTTACGGGCGATTTTAAAAATGCGTTGATAGGTTACCGCAATAGCGAGGGTTGCAATTAGAACAAAGGCTACGAAGAAGACTAGAAAAGTCTCACCACTGACTCCAGGAAAAGATGGTAAACTGGTCGCAAAAATAGAGACAGCCCAGATCATCATAATCACCAGATACACACGGCCTTTGGCAAATCTAACAGACGACAGATAAAACATAGGACGTGATAGAGCGATGTACCGGTCAATACTCATAGCAACGAGACTTGATATTGACGCTATAATGTTCACTCGACCAACAAAACCAGCCACTTGAACAACAGCCTTCGGGACAGTGGTGCCATGATATAGAGCCATGTGCTGGGACGCTCGCATGGGAACCAAAATAACGCTTACTAGCAAGTCTGCGAACGCAAGCGATGTTAGAAGAAAGTTTGAAGCGATCTGTAGTGACTTAGTCCGGCAAACAACCATGATTGTGAGAGAATTTCCAAACGTGCCTACCAGAAAAAGGATCATTTCCACTAAAGACGCTAAAAGAACTCCTACAGCGGAACCATCTTGTGTTGAGCGGAGGTCGTGCCCTGTCGCATTTATGTAGTTAGTACTTGGCATTTTCACCTCTCTGCTTTTCAGGAATGAAAATAAAGTGTTGTTTACAATCTTTTGTGAAAAAAAAAAATTTGTCCAGTTTTCACGAAGAAATGAAGTAAAGAAGACAAAGACCGAACCTGAGTCGAAATTCTACGAAAACTGCATTATTTTACCTCGTTCATCGTAACACACACAGTGTTAACCCTCTACACTGATCTATTGACTTGGTCAGTTACCTCTGGGGCCTATATTTGCTGAGTTTCATATTTTAATTTACAAAAGCAAACTTTCGAAACTACTCAATTATTTCAAGGTGCGAAAGCGGCGAGGATTTATGCAAATATCATGATTTCTTTTACACTATAATAACTAACACTAGGGAAACAGAGGATGTTGAAAAAAAATTTTAGGAAGAAAATCCGAATATTTCATTTTGTAAAATACAGAAAAAATTGGTACCATATGAAAGTACTCGTACAGAGGCTTATTTTAACTGTCACACCGATTTCGTCTTCGATCAAAACGGTCAGAACGCATTAGCGGTGCTTTTCATTAACGCAACATTTTACGCACATTTCCGTCGACGCATCATGGCATGGACCGCTGCAACCTGGTCGGAAAAGAAAGAAGTCAGTTGGAGGGTTAAAAAGCGCTTGTAATAAATTAATTTATTTAAACATTGTGAGTATAATTATTCTACGGCGAAACGGTTGCAATTCGCTGTGTTACTTTTTCTCTTCCGTAGAGCCTTCAGGTCGTCTACGAGAAATTTACGCCGAAAGAAGCAAAACATATGCATTTTACCTTTCCTGGAAATTCAGTTGAGCACACTTTGACTACGGTTAAGCGCATGCTCATTAATTAAATTACTTTTTTCCAATGTATTATTAATTCTATCGGTTAATAACCCCACTCACATGTATCTCTGCGCCTAGAAATTAGGCGAAACGACGTTGCATTATTTACGACAATGTGTAACTTACCTAATTACCGCTAAGTGAAATGCAAGGAAAACCCACTCATCACCAAAGAATATTGCTAGTATATTCTTTGAGTTATTGCTAGAATTTATTTTTTTAGAATGAGCAATCACAAAATGGTCATCATGGCAAGTAAATACAGTAAAATAATAACATTGACACAGGGAAGTCGCTTTCATTAATTTCTAAAAGGAAAATATAATAGAATTAGACAGCACAAGACAAAGACAAATAAAAGTGAATTTTGGATGGGACCTTTCCATCCGGTAAAAGCCACCATTAGATATCGGTCGATCTATATGGATCTTATATCTCATAATCTACACGCTAGTTTGTCAAGACTTCCTCTCTATTTGCTGTTCATGCTAATTGTTTGCACCTTCTCGGCTTGAGTCATCAACTAGACTGGGATGCTCAACTGTCGGTTTCTCAGCTAAGAACTACACGAAAACTATACTGTAAGAAATTACACAGGAACCTATTGGGCTCAACGCACGTTTTCATTTTAAACGAAAACGCTTAGGACAACAAGAACGCACTTAAAAGAAAGTTTAAGTTACACTCCAATTAACTAGAGTCTCCTTCGATCTTCCTAGATAAGTCGGGAAGAGGAAGGACTTATCTAGGAAAGATGGAAACGACTCAGCTAGCAGGGTACCAATTAACCTTTGTTGTAAGCTAGAAATTATTGATCCAAAATAATTGGCTGAATATATTTTTTGGCTGCCAGACGTTTTGTGTCGACAATCGAAAAAGTAGGTTAACCTCAGTGAAATGTAAAGAAAGCTGTGATCTTTTTTTCAATTGCAAAAATTATTTACAGAACTTTGAAGATTTAAAATGCTTGTTTTTTTCTTAGTTCTTTGTTCAGTGGACCCCAAACCCGCATTATATGTCGAAAAACAACTAAGGAACAACTTTTACTTCAATTTTTTATTCAACTAATAATGCATTATCGCCATTTATGCAAACACCATCTTGTTAGTCTCTTACATGCATATTATAATTACTGTCAAAATTGTTGACTTGCAGACATTGTCAGAGATTGTGCCTCTATATTTAGTCTATATAACCATCCTGATAAAATTCAAATTATTTAAAAGCATATTAAGAACGGTTTTAAATGTAATTATTATTTCTCGCTGAAAAACTGATAACTCATGTTTTTTCCTGTTTCGTTGTGCTATTGCATAATTCGAATTTCCTAATTCTATTTCCGTTACATGAATTATCAAATATATGATGTACAAGCGCACAAGTTCAATGACGTTTCTAGATTGTCTTTACACCATGAATGTCAAATGCAGCGCGGAGGCTGATTTACTCTCCTAATAAGGAGTTACCCGCGTATAATAGGGACCTTACGATCCCTCAACGGCGATATCCATGAAAACGTCACTGAAAAATAGACTCCGCATCCTTTCAAACCATTTCACCGTTTTTCCAAGTCGCCCTGTTACTTAAAAGAAGGGAATTTAGGCTGGAACTGAAGAGAGAGGGCCGCGCCCGAGTTCAGACAGAGAAGGCAGAATTTATCGCCTTGCCGTTCCCGTCCTCAAAAAACTTGAAATTTATCTTGGAGTTGCATACTCAAATATCTTTTGTTTCTGCTTGATTAGAACTCCTTGACTCCTTTTTCGATAATGAACCTTGACGTTTCGCACCGTACAAACTGGCACTTTGATGAGCACGCTTGGCTTTTATTTCAAGACCATCAGATGTGTACCTCGAACTAAAAATTACCTTTCTTTTTTTAAGAAAAATTGTCCAAATCTTTGACATCTTTGGGTGTGTTGAGGTTAGCACGTTGAATCTCTGTTAATTAACTAGAACAGGCCAATCTTCTAAGACTTTCCTTCACTGATCGTCTTACTTCTCCGATCCTCCAGTAATACAGAATTGGGTTCAGTGTCGAATTTAGATCAACTAAAGTCAGCGCCATCGCCCTTACAAGATATAGAGACTTGGATACTTCATGTGGACTTTTCGGCAAAGCTTGTGCTACAGCATATGGAAGATAACAGACCACTAAAGTTAACTGTACACACAGCGCATTTTTGACCGACTTTTTGTATTGCACAAGGTTAAGCGGCGGGAGGTGTTGGCTCGGTTGTCCTTGGAAGGCAGTTTTTTGGACTTTATACGCCTGACAGCGAAGAAAACGAAAAATCATGGTATAAGCGTAAATAGAAGTTACCAGGCACGATAATATTATAATGGTACCATACCACAGTGTTATGAAATAATTCACAAAAAAGAGTGTGGTGCCGACAATGGAAAGAAGCCACACAGCGATCACGGTCATGCATGTTCGCTTCAAAGTTACAATCTGTTTGTATTTGAGCCCCAGCATCAGTGCTAAGCGCCTATCGATGCTTATTGCCGTAAGTGTTAGCAGAGACACTGAGCCCAATATGTAACCTGTAAGGTGGCTGATGAGAGCTGAGTATCGACAGGTTGCGTTCGCCCCGAAAAGCAGTGAAGTCCAATACACAACAATGGCTGGTTCCGCAATGAGCCCAACGCAGAGGTCAGATGCTGACAGGCAACGGAGAAGAAGTTTAGACGGCGTGTGAAGAGATGATTTCTTGTGAAGCGCAACTAGGATTAACGAGTTCCCAAGAAACGCACAGATGGACAGGAAAATGTTCAGCACAATAAGACATACAAGCGGATGTTGTATACCTTCAGCTAATTCTGGGGAACAGTATGGCACTAGAGGATTACTCAATGTGGTCTGCTTTTCATGACCGGTGAAGTTCGCAGTTGTCGTCATTTTTCTGCAAGCCGAAGACGTGCTTTGAAGCTCATTTTTCACCTTTTCACAATTACACCGGGGTTCCCCGTTCTGACTTTGAAGGTTGCAAATGAGAATTTTAAGCCGAGAGTTCTTGTTTATGACAGGAGAGTTTGACTGCAGGTGTGTTCACCTCGGCACATGCGCCAGGCTGCAGGCGCGTTGGAGCCTGATTCACAACACTTAATTGTTAGATGTAAATTTTCTGTTACTTGTTTTAATTAAGAAATATTAAAACTAGCAGCTGACTTTTTGTTCATAATTAAAATATCTTTTTTAAAGATAATAAAACAAGCAGAGCATGAAGTAAGGCATTTTGTGAACACAAAAACAAGTTCTTATTGCTTACGATCCCGGGTAAAACGTTTTTCTTTTGTGTCATATGGGAGCTGTGCCGCAAGGAATGTCCTCAAGAATAAAGAAAATACTCTTTGTGATCAGCTTTCACTTTTAAGCGCAGTGACATCCAGCTGAGAAAAAAATCCATTTACTTTCGATTCCAATTCAGTTTCAACTCCTAATTTGTTTAGAGAGAAAAACCAGTATTTATTTGACGTGGCATCAGATTTCGTTTTTGTTCCACCCAAACCAGAATTTCAGATAACCGTCGTCTCTAGAAACACTCTGGAGATTTATTCCCCTGCGGTAGTTTTCCATATCTTTAAATAGCCGCAATTTTAATAAACAATTACAGCATATAAGAGCCGATCAGGACTGATATTGCCTAGAGATTACTGTGCGATCAATATCGGATAGGCTTGAGACACGCGAGTAAGAAATCAGGAAGTGATATCATGGAAACTTCACGTTTGCCATTAAGTGGGTAGATAAAAACGTGGTTACATTTAACCATGAAATGAAGTTTTAAAAACATTTAAACCAGGCAGCTTTCTAATCTCTGAGGGAATCTTGTTCCACAGAACAGAACCTCTGTAGTGTAGGCTCCCTTTTGCAGACTCAGTTCTGGGTCTGGGAACATAATAATTTAACTCATAATTTCTAAGATTGTGTGAGTGTACATTTGAGGTGTTGCTAAAGATCCGCCTCAGATACGACGGGGAAAGATTATTATAAAAAGATTATTATGATTATAATTAAACCACCCATCTGTACAGTTTTTCCATGTTTAACGCTGTCTTGGCACGCGTTGATTATTTTCAGGATATTTATTATCGAAACCAAGCTGGATTTTGTTTCCCTTACCGATAAAAATCTTCAAAGACGACGAAAATTTGTTGCCGAACGTGACTTTCTCATACTAAACTCTTATACTGGCCAGGTTTAATGTCTGAGTCACAGTAGGGACCAGACATTTGTGACGTCATTAGTGGAAAGCGCTATTGATTTATTGAGTCCCCTTATATGCAGCGAAACCGCTCTTAAGGCACATATGTTTCTGGTATCTTAACGTAATCATTTTGGGGTTTATATGTGTTCCACACTGTGCAAATCTTGATAGTGTTTTGCTCAAGAAAAAGTTGCAGTTTAGTATTTTGGCGCATGCAAATTACAATGCATAAAGGAGAAATGCAATAGCAATTCATTTGCATTTGAATGACTCCTTTTAAACGTGACCGCTGACCAGTAGGTAGGTAGGAAGTATGCATAATTATCCCATAATGCTCCACATATCTTAAGAGAACTTCAATTACACTTCAAGGTAAGTACCTCTCGTCTAATTTTCATATTTAGCTCAAAGTTCGAAAATGCGCGTCTCATTTTTGCTTTATTACCTGCGCATGTGACATTCACATGACCGCCAATGTTTCCCCACAGGTACCCCAAGCGGTGAATATGATTTAACCCATTTTGTGGGTTTTATTGTAACCAGGTTGCACTCTTTATAAGGATTATTGGATTACTTTAGAGAGAGAACAATCCGGTTCCAATAAAACCCATAAAATGGCCATAAATCGGCTCGAGGACCACACAGAATAGAAGAAATACACAATTTAAATGAAATTAGCCGACTCATTTAAATCTATTTTCTAACTATTTTTACAAAAGGGGAAAAAGGGAAATAAAAATAAACAGAAAGATAAGTCCACAAAAAATGCTACAAATTATCTAACAATTACTAGAAGGTTACCTGCCTTTTGGTCCTACATCCCTTATCTGCCCATTTCCTATTTCGAAGGTTACGTAACAATGCCGATGCTCATATTTTTGTGCTTGGGCTTTCTCTCGTTTATGGAATTTTTGTTTTCATCTCAAACATCCGTTATTCAGAAACATGAAACAATGTAACATTGGGCGCGTATTCTCTGTAGGATCTTGAGTGGACGTAGGGTTTTGCTCTCACGGCGTAGATTTTCGCGGAATCATAGTTATTAAAGTGGAATGGTTATGAAACCCGTAAGACTTCTTTGTTATACAGCTATATCGAGGAAGATTGTCGAAAAAAGTGCAGGCGACAATCCCAAAAGGTATTGTGGGTAGGTTTAAGCTCACTGTTCTTCAAAAAATTTGAAAGAATGGCAGGAGAGGCCATGGGAATATGTTTGCGAGTGCTAAAGGAAAGCAACAAAAGTATGTTCGACAGCTACAGTGTCAGTAACAGCGTATTGATCATATCCCATATTACCTTTCGGGATTGTCGCGTGCACATTTTTTCCGACAACCTTTCTCGAAATAGCTGTATGTTTTTGTTAGCTTTTCTGGACCTGACCGTGCACAACGTTCAATAGCATTCCTATCGTTTTGAACTTACTGACCAATAGAAACATCGGATTAATTTATTCAGTCACTCATTTCTTTCACGGGAACATATGAACCCACAATTGACCTGCTGCCAACGTCAGTGGCTTCATAGCTCAGTTGGTAGAGCATCGCACCGGTATCGCGAGGTCACGGGTTCAAACCCCGTTGAAGTCCTGAATTTTTTTCAGGCTTCTTTACGCAATTGCATAAATTGCGTTCACTGCGACGATCATTTCTTCATTTTCATTTCATTTCCGCAGTCCATATATGATTTATTTCATATATCATTAACAAAAAACAAAGGATTGTGCACGGTCAGGGAGCTTCCAACATAACCTACAGCACTCGAGTGAAAGGAAAGAGAACTTATAGAAAAAGTGAACTCCAGATGTTTTTGTTGATTTCCGTCAGCCATATTGGTGCCCCAAAACGGTACACCAATATGGCGTCTCCAGTCCCCGGGAATATTCATTCATCCACGTACCGAGAAAAAAACGATCTAGTGGTGGTATTGGTCTGTTATATAACACAAGCCTGAAAATCGAAAGGGTTGATTGTAACAGTTATGCCTCTTTTGAATACTTGGAGGTGAAACTGCACACTGCATCAACAGTTGTTAGAATTGTAATTCTTTACCGCCCTCCTTCGTCAAAAGTTAATAAACTTACTTCCGCCCAGTTCTTTCATGATTTCAACGATCTGCTTGAACACTTGTCAGTTTCCTCTGGTAGGCTTTTGATCAGGGGTGACTTCAATCTACATGTAAATGAACCATCTCGTGATCGTCTGACGGCTAAATTTCTTGATTTTCTGGACTCTTATAACTTGGCCCAGCATGTTACATAGCCTACACACAAGCGTAAGGGCACGCTGGACTTGATAATTACAAGGGCAAACTAGGATACTGTTTTGAACTGTAAGGTTGAGGACCCTGACCTATCTGATCACTATGCGGTACACTGCAAGGTAACATTGGATACGCCCACTGCTCGTAGAGTAGAAAAGACCTATCGAAAACTGCGAAGTGTAGATATGGAGGCTTTACGGAGAGATCTGACAACTTTACCTGTTTTCACCTCCCCGGCTACAAATGTAACCGATTTATTATCACAGTATCAAAATGATCTTGATGGTTTGCTTGAAATTCATGCGCCCCTAAAAAGACGTGTGGTCACCTTAAGGCCTTCTACGCCATGGTATAATGATGAAATTGCGTCTGCAAAGCGTGAACGGCGTAAACTGGAGAGGCACTGGTGAAAACCAAACTAACTGTACACCAACAACTATACAAAGACAAATGCAAACTAGTCAGGTCTCTAATTACATCGGCAAAGATGGAGTTTTACTCTGATTTGATAAAAGAAAACAAAGGCAATCACAAGCTGTTGTTTTCCGCCATTGACCGCATGTTAAACCTGACACCGGAGAAGTGTTACCCTTCTTGCGAGTCTGCAAAAAAATTATGTAACAACTTCGCGGATTTTTTCTCAAGCAAGATTGCCACAATTCGATCGAATCTATACTCTTTGGCACTGCCTGATATCCCTTTCCGATTTTCCCGTTTTGATAATCCCTCTATTCAGTGTGAGTTTAACCAGTTTAAGCCGACTACTGCTGTCGAACTGAGCAAATTAATAACTAAAATGGCTAGGAAGTCGTGCCCTCTAGACCCGATTCCTTCTAACTTACTTAAGTTGTGCTTTTCTGATTTGGTACCAATCATAACAAAGATTGTTAATTGCTCTTTAGAAAGTGGTGAAGTTCCTCTGTCGTAATCATTTTGGGGTTTATATGTGTTCCACACTGTGCAAATCTTGATAGTGTTTTGCTCAAGAAAAAGTTGCAGTTTAGTATTTTGGCGCATGCAAATTACAATGCATAAAGGAGAAATGCAATAGCAAAATAAAAAACGAAGCATAAAAAGCGAAATACTTTGACAAAAAATTTTAGCACTTGTGACAGAATGCACATAAATTAAGTTGTAGAACAGCTTATTGAAAAGGAAGGTTGATGCAAAGATGCAAAGCGGCATTTAATCGCGATTAGAGAAAAAGCGACGCCCTCCTAGTATTCTCTCCGCTAATTAAATATCAGAATGCAAATTTTAGACTGAAAAAGGTAGCAAGGTGTAAGGCGAAAAAAGTGAATAATTTAAATAGTATTGAAGAGACTAGAGGTATAGTTTCTTAAAGCACAGATGTTAAGATGGGAAAGATTATCTTAATACACCATGACTCATTGTAACTCTTATTATTAATTATGTAAGTCAGTTTTGTATC